TTGATAAAATAAGAAAGTAATCAAATGCACTAGACCACCTGATGGGTGGTCTAGCAGCATAAATTTTCAAACTCTAGATTTAATTTTTCTTAATAAAAGTATTATAATTTTAGTATAATACTTTTATTAGAGGGAGAATTATGCAGAATAGAGAGTGGAAAACAATATTAAATATCATTAATAATGAAATCAACTTTGCTCAAATTTTTAATCAAACCGAAAATAATATTACTAAAAACAATATTATTGATATAGTAAAATCAAAATTAAGAAAAAACTATCCAGATACATACAATAAGTGGCAGGCAAGTGATTTTGATGTTAATTACTTATTTTCATTTCAAGAGCAGCACATATACAATAAATGCACATTATTACATATTTCCGCTTATTATGGCCTAGAGAACATAGTAAATGCTCTATTAAAATTAGAAAAAATAGACATCCATACTACCAATAAATATAGGGTAACTCCTTTACACTGGGCTGCTATAAGCGGCAATGCAGGTGTAGTAAGAGCTCTGTTAGAAAACAGAGCAAATATTGATGCTATAGATCAAGCTGAAGCAACTCCTTTACATTGGGCTGTTAAAGATGGCTATATAAGTACAACAAAGGTTCTATTAGAAAATGGTGCAAATCCTTTGTTGAAGGATAAGTATAATCATATTCCAAGAAACTTAACCAGAAATAGTTATATAGAACAGCTTGTGAAGAGAGCAGAAAAAAGACGACTTTTAAAACCGAGAATGATAGGTATTACTGTTGCTTGTTCAACCGCAGCACTTCTGTAAACCAAAATTTGGAGAAACAAGAAAAAAGTATCCAATGGATCTGGAGAAATAGAGTTGTTAATAGAGAAACACCTTTAGAGTGTACCATAAGAAGTAGGAGGCCGCTAAAACATAGCAAAAGAGAAGTATTAGGAGATTTTATGTATTACTTATAGGCGCAATGGCGCTATTTGCCGAACGACTTTCCGCCATTAAAGAAAGCATATGAGCAATTTAGGAGATGGAAGAAGCAGGGGATTTTCGTAAAATGAATTACGATATCTCTAAGTATAACAGGTCCAAAACGGGAGGGAAAGAGGAACTAAGTGCTTGTATAGTGGATATCCAATTTATAAAACGACAGAAAAAAAGCAAGGGTTATGATATAGGCAAGAAAGTCAATGGTGGAAAGAGGCATATAATCACAGCATTTGTGCTTGTTTGCTATGTCGGAGCTGCCAATGAGAGCGACAGAGATAGTATAAAAATAGCATTAGATAACATGAAGAAAAAAATATAATAAAATTAGAAAAATATTCGCTGACATGGGATATCAAGGAAAAGATTTAAAAGAATATGGAATAAAAATTGAAATTGTAAGAGGTATCTGTGAAGATTTTTGGGTGCATCAAGACACTCCACCGGAATTATTAGCCCAACGAGACCCAGGACATTTAAAGTGCAGCCCAAGGGGGGGGCTTGTAGAAGACTTTTGATTGGATCAATAGGGATAGGAAGCTATCGAAAGAATGTGATTTACTTATAACATCTACTGAATATTTAATATATTTGGCCATAAGTAGGGCTGTACTAAAAGGGAAATATACTTGATTAATGGTTTGTGAACAACCTTAAACCATACAGCCCCACTATATAACTATATATTATCCTCGTTTAAAGTTATTATGTGACAAGTATTACATGGGTGCGCCAAAACAATATAGGAGGTGTGTAGAGTAATACAAAACAGTAAAGAGAGTATAGCAAAGCTTGCAGAGCACTATAATCTTAATCCGAAGGCTATTGTAAAATGGAAAAAACGCTCATTTGTTATAGACGCTGCAATTGGCCCAAAACATGGAAAATCAAAGATGTCAACTCAAGGGGAAGAAGCAATAATTGTCACTTTTCGCAAGCATATACTTCTTCCTTTGGACAATTGCCTTTATTCTTTGCGGGCCATAATTCCTTGTTTAACTCGGTCTAGTTTGCATCATTGTTTGCAAAGACACGGCATTAGCATACTGTCAGATGTTGAAGGAGAGATAAAAGCCAAAAAGAAATTCAAGCTATTCCTGATTTATTTATAGTTAATACTCGCCTTCATACTTTGGGGCCGTCCAGATGTTGTAAGGATGGTCCTCTTATTATGAATAAATTCAAAAGAGGTCGAACTTTTGCTTTAATAGAGTTTTTAATTGACTTTTAATACGTCTCAGCATACGTTATT